AATTGTATGTCTATATGTAGACGATATATTGATCATGGAGAGTAGCCATGAAGTGATCATGGATACGAAAATAATGTTGAAGAGAAATTTTGACATGAAAGATATGTGTTTGGCTGATGTTATTCTTGGAATAAGAATTATTAGAACCCAAGATGGAATTGTCTTGTCACAATCTCATTATATAGAGAAAGTGCTCAAGAAATTTGATACCTATGACGGTGCATAGTCTAGGTGTAAGACACCCCTTGATCTCAGTATAAATCAGGAAGTCAACAAAGGTCAACCAGTGGCTCAGTTGAAATATTCACGGATAATAGAGAGTCTGGTGTACTTGACGAATTGTACACGACCAGACTTGGCCTATCCGGTGAATAAGTTGAGCAGATTTACGAGCAATCCCTGTCAGGAACACTGGAATGCTTTGAGAAGAGTACTTAAGTACTTGAAGTACACCCTTGAATACGGACTAAAATACTTGAGATATCCAGTCGTACTTGAAAGGTACTGTGATGCAAGCTGGATATCAGATTCGAGAGATTCTCGCTCCACTAGCGGATATGTTTTCTGTATTAGAGGAGATGTCATTTCGTGGAAATCCACAAGACAAACGTGTATATCTCGGTCAATGATGGAATCAGAGTTATCCGCTTTAGATAAAGCTGGTGAAGAAGTCGAGTGGCTTAGAAATTTTTTATTTGATATTCCATATTGGGATAATACTTTGTCGCCAGTGGTGATTCACTGTGATAGCCAAGCTGCTATAGGTAGGGCGCAAAGCAACCTGTATAACGACAAGTCTAGACATATTCATCGTAGACATAATACCGTACGCCAATTGATCATGAATGGTATTATTCCCATTGACTATGTGAAGTGTGAAGTCTAAGGAAAATTTGGCTGATTCTTTGACGAAAGGTTTGAATAGAGATCAATTGGGAAGATTGCTAGAGGGAATGGGCTTAAAAATCCACAGTGTAAAGAATGATCATAGTGGCAACCCTACCATGCTGAGAGGAAATCCACGAACTTGGTTCAAAGGGAAAACTAAGCTATGAAAATTTAGTTGAGCACTTGGAACATATGAATGTTCAAAGTTATTCCTTAGAGCACTCCAAGTGCAGGATGACTTATTGATTGTGGTGAGGGTATGTCATCTGGACTTTTAATGAATCTCTAACCTTGTAAAGGTGGAGTAATACATGATACTCTTGATAGGGAGGTCACCTATATAAGTGTGAAGTATGGGCCGCTTCAAATGTAAACACTTATGAATCCGAAGTGTTGTCCATGGCCAAAACGGACACAAAAATAGAACGAAATAGAGTTAAGATTATTGTGTGAATGTCATTGTTTAGGTGTACACTATGGAGGAATAGTTCAAGGCATTAATAAGTTCACTAGGTCTGTTGTAGCAAATTATTTTTATTTTTACCGAGTACCGAATCAAAAGATTCGTTCCCCGGGTCGATCTCTCGAGGAAGACGGTTTGGAATCCAGCGTTGGTATTAGTCACACACGAAAAGAAAATAAGTCCTAAACACTCTAATCACGATTAATTTGGTGAATTAACTAAAACAAGCTAGAACTAGAAAAGCAATTTAAAGAAATAACAATTAAATCTCTAGAGAAAAGGAAGAAGTTCTAGGGGTCGAAAAATCTCATCAACTTTTAAACTATGTTGAACGATTATTAGTTCGGTTACGAGATTTAACAAGCCTACACGTCTAGAGGGCTATGCTCAATAACTCTTCGTAACAAGAGCACATACATAAACGATAAACTCATTCAAACAAGCAACACATAGACAATACGTTTCCGAACAAGTCTACTCTATACGAGCCTAAATCGACCGACATCTCCCCTCTCGGTTCTAAACGTCGATTAACTAGGTTAGAATGGTGATCAATCAACTAACCCTATAATTCACACAACTCGCATAGATTGAACAAAACACATTCCACATAATTCGAACAAGAATCAAAATTCCTAACCCTGGTGAATGGATTACCTCATGCTTAGATTCAATCTCATGTTAAATGGAATTCAGAACATAAAACCAATCAACAATAATAAAATAGAATTGGAAAACTTACAATCGTATTAGGACTTGAAAGATTTCAATCCAAATGTCTTTGTGTCCAGCAATCCAAGCATGAGAAAATAAAAAAAAAAAAGCGGAGAAAATTATCCTAACAATATTGAGTTTTTTGAGAGAAAACTTGAAAGGAACGATATTGTGGGTTGTTCCTTAGGTCTGGAGGTTCGTTTTGATATATAGTGCGCAAAAAATAGAGCTAAAACGAGAAAAAACGAGCAAAAATAAAAACAGGGGTCGACAAGGTCGCGAATCGCAAGTTGACTCGCGAATCGCGTGAATCGCGAGCTGGACAGGTCGCTGGGCTGCTGGAGGCTCTGTTAAAGTCGCGAGTCGCGACTTTTCTCTCGCGAGTCGCGACTAAAACTCGCGACTCGCGAGATTCTGGCTGCACTGTGCCATTTTGCGTTTTCGCCTCGTTTGAGCTCATTCGAGCTCGGAATTGAGTTTCGTTTTTTCCTATGCGTCGCTAACGAACCCCTCTATCCAGTTATGCTCTCGAAACCAACTTTTTCCTAAGAGAAAATTCGCCCGAATCTTTCGACCTATACACCAAAAACGACAAAATACAAAAGAAAACTGGAAAAACAAACAAAAAACACCTAATGACTCAAAATGAAGGAAAACACATAATAAAACATAAAACGGACTAAAAACTAAAGAAACAACCTAAAACGGGGGAAAAATAAAGATAAAATAAACACGAAAAACGCAACAACATGGGATAAACAAGGTCGTCAGTGCATCCGATGATGTTTACTAAGAAAGATTCCAAGCCAAAAGCTACCTTTTCTGATGCAATAGAGTATTGTGAGGATTGAGCACAATATTCTATATATATTTAATTTACACTCACGTGGGAATTGTCAGAATTTTGAGTGTAAATTAAAGGAGTGAGTCCCTGGCCCATTTGCACCACTTGTCTAATAATGCAGTTACATATGCCTCAATTATCGTAGCATGTGTCTAATGCTAATCAATTAGTGTAACATGTGCATGATTTAGTTACAGCTATTGGCCATATTGGCACAACTTGCTCAAAACCCCCTACAAATATGTATGCTCAGGCAGAAGGAAAGACGCACCAAAATAAGAAAGAAAGAGAGAAGAAAGAAAGAGAAAGGAAAGAAAGATATATGTCCAAATATCGGATATAAAAATATCAAAAGAGAAGAAACAAGTGATATTTCTATTAGTTTCAGAATATTCCTTTTATTTCTAAGTGCTCAATTCTCGATTTCGTTCCCATTCGTCGGAGCTCGTAAATCTGGTGTGCTACAGATTTAGAGATGTTTGTCGTTGTATCTTTGGAGAAGTTACGCCTGAACCGTTAGCTGTCACACAAGGCGTATTTTTTTCTTGCGGAAAGAGTTTACTCGCTTCGGCTAAAATCTTTCCGTTTTTCAATTGTAATTTATTTTCAGTTCAATTGTAATTTTTTATTTTTATATTATTTGTAAGAATTAAAAAAATACATATCAGTTTGTAGGATTCTCGTGTGATTTTACAGCTAGTATCGAAAAGAAGAAAGGAGAATTGATGTATCCCATTAATCCGCATTAGCCTTGTGAGAAGAGAATTTATGGATCCCATTAATCCGCATTAGCGTTATATTTTTCAATTACAAAAAAAAAAATAAAAAAAAAATAAAATCGATATATATATAATTACTTGCTAATGGCATTTAATAAAACCTATTTAATTTTACCTATGTGGCAATTTAACCATTTTCCCTCCAAAAACCGTTACTTTTGATGAATTTAATCTTTCATTTAATTATTAATTAATCAACATTAATCACTTAAAAATTACAAAAATCATTTTAAACTTTTGATTACTGACATTTGACCATAATAATGTGTTGACCGTATACTGTGATGAGATGTTACTATTGTGGTTACATTAAATTAATTTTTTAAAATAAAAACGTATTTGAAATTTCTAAATAAATAATAACTAATTCACAAAAAAAAGATGTACCAAAATATACATTACATCTAATTAGATAAATGCAATTTAAAAAAAAAATATTCCAACTCCTTTAATTGTATATTTGGCCAGCAAAAAGGTGAAATAGAAATAATTAATCATTATATGCATACAAATCACTCACAATATTTTATTTACATTTGTGCAAGTGCACAGGGTCGAATACTAGTAAAATAAAAAGGACGGATCGTAGTTTTTTATGCCAATAAAAACGTCATTTTTGTTAATTTTGCTAATTAGTATGGATTGTGTATATTTGCTATGAAAATGCATAGCGGTGGTTGACTTGATAGTTTTCCCGTCTCTATTGACTTGATTCTAGATGTAATTGTTCACTGTTAGTCAACTAATAAACATATTTAAAATTTCCAGCATTTAAATTTAAAATTTCCAGTCAACTAATAAACATAATTCTCCTAGTAACTAATCCAGGCTTGCCATATGAATCGAACACTTTTTCTTTTTTCCCTCCGAATAGGGCAAACTGGCCCAAGTCCATAATTAGAATAAACTGAGTTGAAATTGTATCTGTTCTCCCTTCAAAGTTAAATAAATATTGATAAAAACAAGTTTGATCTGATCATCAAGAAAATTCCGAGATTGATGCATATGGCAGAACCCATTCCGGCAAAAGTCCGGATAGGGGTGCCTACGGTGCTGTTTTACACAGCACCTGATGTGTTTGGTCTCGCACCATTGGATCATGTTAAGTTAACATTATTAGGTACCCCCAACTCCAAAAGTCCAGTCAGTCCTTCAGACAAACCTCAAAACAGACATACATGTAATAATCAAATGGCAAACATTAAGGACCACAATAAGATGTGTTTACTATCACTTTTAACATTCACAATCTCTGTTGGAATTCCTTGCATCAGAGTTTGCAAATTACTGGAGTTGACAACTTGAACCACAATCACAAAGCTACATCTCCATGGATTTCATCGTACTTCACATTAAAACGACGACAATGCATGCAAACAGTAAATGATCCTCCAGCTAGCTCAACAGTGAGCAAGAAAACTTCTGCAGACTGAAAATAACCCAAAAAAACAGGAAAAAAATAAAATAAAAATGTATACACACCAAATCATTCATTGTTAATGGTAGGCACCTTCTCGTACAGCTCCACCTCCCTAAACCTCCGAGGCAAGATCCAGCGGCCCCCATTCCTCTGCTGCACAAAAGTGATTACTGCAAACCCAATAATCACACAAGGAATCAACACGTCCCACGCGGTCGAGTAATAATCCGCTCCTGGATTCGCATAGTAATAAGTCCCATTCACATCATATGCCGGATAATTATGTTCCCTGTACTGATTGTAAGCATGCGGCACCACCCGGGCCAAACTAGTCCCGACATAAAACGGTTCACCCAAAGCCTTTGCAGCCGAGCCACCGAATATATTGAGCAGAATTTGGGGAAAGAGAAACCCGTCAAGAATGAAGCCCACGTACGACCTCAAATCCCCCCAAACAGAGTATTTTCGGAAACATTTGTTCCAAACCACAGCAAGCAGGCCGCCCGAAACGTATAATGTTAAAGTAACAAAGACACACTTTCTCTCTCCAGCACAAGACCCCTTCTCGTTATTTTCGTCCTGTTTTGCAGTCCAAACCAATTGGGCTAAACGTATTTGCAGCAAGAATGCTACCATTGTGATTACCCTAACAGCTACTTCATTAGCCTCGATCCATCCGCCGGAGCTTAAGGATACCGTCTGTTTATTGTGATTTGCCAAGAAAACGGCATCGAAGTTCAAGACAAGTGGAATCATGTGCCCGAGACAAAGTACCACAAGCATGACGAGTGAAATGCGAGAAAGTACCGCGGGATTTCTCTTCACGTGCAAGATTTGCAGCCCTATGAAGACACATAAAAGCATGTTGGATATCAAGACCATTGTGATCTCAAAATCCATTCTCCATATTGACTTTTCAGCCTCTTCCCCGTAATATGCAGCGGATGACAATTTCAAGTCCTTGAAATAAAGAGGGTCCGATTTCCCCCGTGTGCTTTCTATCACCCCTTTAATACGGCCACCCTTTTTGTCATTTAGAGGAGCGAACACAAATTTCACCAAAATCTCACAGTCCATGGAGGTAGAAGTCATACTTGTATTTCCCCCGTATGACGTCAATTGGCCACATGCCACCATGCAGAGATACCCCGTTTTGGCATAATATGTTCCCTCAGCAGTGATACCCAATCTGTGCTGAGAGTCCACAGATAGATTGAGATTCGGGAACAAATTACGAATCTCAGCCTTATATGCATGGATGAATATATTGTAGCTGATATTGGTAGGAGCGATGTCTGCATTTCTCGCAGAGCTAGAAATTTCAGGGGCGGACTCTGGCGCGATCGTGTCTGCTAAAAAAACCATACGGCTCCTGTCGAACAAATTATTTCCAATAGAAATAGGTTTAGCATAGCCCCACGCAATCTCTTTGCCTTTAGAATTTACAGCATACAAGTCGAATCTCATATCTTCCGAAAGCCCAAGTGGATAGACACTACCTTTCTTCACGGGCTTATTAACGGGGCATAAGTTTTTCGCTCGGCCTAGTTCGATATACTTGTATCTCAGGTCCGGGAAATCTACAAGGTCGAAACTTGTGAGGTTAACCTTACCAAAATAACCGGAGTTTTGAGCACTCTTGGTGCTCGAAAATTGACCGACCACTTTCGGTTCACTTCTGATAGTCCAGACCGTGTTGTACTTGAGGCTCAATCCCATGGTACAATCCCCTACTGCACGGCCCAACTGAGTATCCGGGTTCAAGAGGCGACATGCGATGCCGGACAGCTCATTGTTCTTATCGTCCCACGAAGCCTCCCCAATGAAGGTCGAGTCAATGCCGAATTCTTGATTGACGTAACTTACGTTTTGTAAAAAGGCCAAGAATCTTATCTTTTCTTCGTGCCAAGAACATTGGAACGGGGTTAGAGCCAGAAAACCAGAAGACTGCCCGAGCAGGGAATGGGAAGCCTTTTCATACTGCATCTCCAAGACAGACCTAAACGTCCGGCATAACTTGATTCGATGCGTATCAGGAGAATACCCACCACCAGATATTTTTGAAACCAGAGAATAATTATAGTTTGAAAGCTCAGGAAAAGTGAATATAAAAACCGGATTAAAGTATGCAGGATCATTGACAGGACTTGTACTCTTGAGAGTCCCACTAACTACACCAGTGTAAATATCAGGATTCTCACTGGCATAGTTGAGCTTGAGAACAGCTTCAAGATTGACAATCCTGAACCCGTCAACCGGCCGAGAAGCAGATCCAACCAAACAAAGCCTTCTGGAGATTTCGGACCAGTAGCCGGTTAACAAAAACCTGACCGATCTCCGAGCCAGAGAAACTCCGCCGTTGTAATAAGAGGATCCAGCAAAGGTGGAGGTGGTGTGGTTGTGCAAATATCGATTTGGATACAGGATATTTAAAACTGCCTCCACCTTATAGACACCTTGTGTTGTGGTTTGATAGTAATTTGGCAGGATTCTGAGCTTGAGAAACTTTCCCGACAAGTAATAGGTTTGATTCCCTTCTTTGGGGGCCAAGAGTTTGTTTCCACCTGTGAAGTATGATGACATGATACTAAGCGCCGAGGGTCGGAGAATACGAGAAGTGGTGGTCGACTCGGGGACAAAGGAAGAACAATGATCAGAGTATGAAACAGTGGATGATGGAGTAGATGAGGAGTTTGTGCAGATGAAAGTGAGAAGAAAAAAGAAGCTCAAGGAGGAGATAAACCAAAAAGAATGCATTGTAGCAAAAAAGGGTTCAACCCAAAACAACTAAGAGGAAGAAGAAGAAGTCTTTTTTTGGCGCTTTATTTGTGGGTTTTGGGAAATTTCTTCATTGGGTCAATATGGTAAACATCTTTCAGACGAACTCTGTTTCCGGGATATTACAGTTAAAAGTGCGGGGAGTGTGAGTGGGAGTGAGCTTATGGTCAAGTGGTAATAATTTACCGCATTTACCCAATTGGATAGCAAGAAATTTGTGTTGACTTGGACATGGTGGAAGTTGCCTTCGGAATCTACTAAAGTCTAGCGACGACTTGGAATTTTGTTTAGCGCCATTAATGATGACTGATTATTTGTTCTCTTCTCAGGTCAAAATCGCTTACTTGTCACACGGACAGTGAATCAGAAATTCTATGGCATCACATGTGGCACCATATTATAGTGTCACAACATGAGGTGACACATTATGATTGGTGCCACAACATGATGTGTGATAGTTGTGGCACCAATCATAATATGTCACATCATGTTGTGGCACCATAATATGATGTCACATGTGGTGGCACATTATGATCATTAATTTCTGCTAGCACCAAAAACCCACATTTACTTTTGGCATCCACGACACTTTAGCACAAATATCATTCATTTAATAAAAAATTAACACTCTCTCTCATCAACATCTATCTTTATAATAAATCTCTGACCATTTAAAAACACATTCACATTCATACACATTCATTTAAATATATATATGGGAATTATTATCCATTCACTCAATATAAACTTTTATATTCTATTCCCAATAAAAAAATAAAATTTAATATTTTTTAATTATAATAATAAATTTTTAAATGCATGAAAATGAAAGAACACTACAAGCAATAACTTAAATTAAGATTACATAAGAACAAAATAGTACAATTACAAAAAAAAATAATAATAATAACAAAAAAAATTAGTTTGCAAAATGAGTACAAATATGCTCAACTAAATCAACACGAAGTTGTTGATGCGTTGTGTTATCTCGTATCTCTGAACTTCTATGAATACAAGTCAAAAGACCGCCTAAAACAGACATTAGCAACGCTAGAAACCAAAGACACTACTCACGATAAGACAGACACAAAAAAAGAGAAAACACACATAAAGCTCCACACGGGAGAATAGGAACGATCCCAAGAGATAATACCCGCACACAGTCAGGCTCATAGGGCCAACGGTCCAAACCAAAAAAACAAGACCAAAAAACATCACAAACACAGACTCAAGACAAACGAAATTTAAAAAACTATAAATCGACAGATTAGGCCCTTCCCAGCCAACCAACGAGCCGAAGTCAGTAGAGAAACAATCGACCCAAGAAGATCCCATGCCTGAGTAACCGCTACCGAAATTGTAAAATCGTCTATACATAAGTTGAACCCGAGCCTTGAACCCATCTCAAATCGACCCACTTCCAACCGAGAAAACAACGAACCAGCTCCCCACACCATCACTGCCCAAACTTATCTAACACCACTAGTCAAGCTCGGGAGTTCCGGACCCCCGCCATCCCCAACACCAGAGAACCGGGGGTGTGACCAGATGAAAATCCAATCGCATACCAGATGAAAATCGAGGGGTAAACCACCCCAATCGAGGACCCGCTGGCGATCGAGGGAGAACTACCAGTCTCCAACCGAGGGCACACCACTGCAATCACATCCGCGCCGACAATCGAGGGCGGACCCCCGATCGCAAACACCTGCAGAGAAATTGAAGACACGCAACGTCGAGGACGGGCCGAGAAGTCAAAGATGACCACTGGCCTGAGCCTCGCCGGTGCCGAGGAAGGCAAAACGACTGGGAAAGAAAGAGAAAACCGACGAAAGAGGGGCTAGATTTTTATGCAACAAATGAGGGGCGAGAGAAAAAGAGAGTGTCCGTATCTTTTAGTCGAGCTTAGAAATTAAGAAAATTAATTAGAAAAAGTAAATAAATTAAGTTAAAAAAATAATTAGTCAAGTTAAGAAAATTAATTAATTAGATTTTCTATTTAATTAATTTAAGAAGTTATTTTCAGAATTCATTAATAGAGATTATTAATCAATGAGTCTAGAGTTAATATTTTGATAAGTAAATTTTTATCATGTAGATTACGAGGACTCGAGCCATCGAGAAGATTATCGAGCATTCATTCATTCATTCTGCAATTAAGGTGGGGGAAACACCCTTAAAGGGGACAACCTTTTTAATTTCATGTTATATTTATTGTAGTATATACATGTCGCCGAGCTTCGGGTAAAGAATTAGCGGTAAGAGTTGACAGTAAGAATTGACTGTAAGTTGCCATTGTCTTCGGACTATGGGCAGGCTATATGAGATATATGAGACTATAAGAGAACCAGCTTTCGAGTTTTGAGTAGATGAGACTTTAAGACTTGGCTTTCGGGTAAATGTATGATATGGTTCATTCGTATGCATGTTATATCTGCGTGTGTTATGATGTCGTTATTATCATGAATGTATGCATTGCTTGTGTGACTCTGGACAGGCCTACGAGCCAATACACAAGCGGCGCGCACACACACACACACACACACACACACACACACACACACATATATATATATATATATAAGTAAGAGGGATGACTGGTTCTTGACGGGGTATAGTAGAGTTAGTATTATATTGTATGGCCTTCGGGTAAGCAAATTTTAATGGGCCGACGAGCCAAAGTATTAAATCTCTCAGGTCGTACGATGGCACGAGGTTCCCTCAAGTCATGCGGTGGCATTATTAAGACCAAGAAACGCCCTGAGGTCCCACGACGGCATAACGTTATCAGGGCATGCGGCGGCATAATTGTCATAAGATGAGCGCCCTCAGGTCGCATGACGGCATAACGCCCTTAGGTCGTGCAGGGCCATAGTTAAGTTTCAGGACGACGTCGTGCAACGGTACAAAGTACCTCTGGTCGTGCGGCGACAAGTTCAAGTTCTAAGTTGACAATCATGTCCTTCGGACAAGATGTTTACGACCCAGACATAACAGGTTCCCGTATCATGGTTCAATCTGAGATATGAGTACTGCGATGTAGATATATGTTATTAAACATTTAACTGTTTAGTTTATCCTCACTGAGCTAGTGATTTGCTTACCCCTTCCCCCCCTCCCCCCCTTCTTTTTCCTCTTTTTGATGTTGATCGAGTTGGTGTTGGGAAAAGAGATGGTGGAGTGGTCGTGTCGCATCTTTGTGTTCTTTTATGATTTTTGAGACATAATCCTATTATTTGGATTTAGACTTGAGTACCTCGCATGATTTAACTTGAGACAATGAGATGTTTTATCTATTTTGGACTTTTATTATGAATTAAGATATAAGCATGATGAGTATGAGTTTTGAGAAGGTTTCGCTATAATACTTTAGTTGACAAGTGTTTTCGAAAAATTAATATGAAAAACTTAGGTTATGTTCGGTAAAATTAGTTGATAAGCTAGCTTATAGCTTATCATAATTTTCGAGCTTATAGCTTATGACTTATAGTTGAAAAACTAGCGTATATGATAAAAGTGTTTGGTAAAATTAGTTGATCAACTAGCTGGAATAAAAATTTCAACGAGCTTATTTGAAAAGCTACCTAAGAAACTTAAAGGATGAAACGGACAACTTTGGTAAGGGTGAGGGTATGGATTGACTTAGTTTGAATTTGTTTGAAAAAAGTGTAATCTCCTTACTAACAAAAATGTGCTTAATAAGCCTATGCACATGAGTATCAATTCTAGCAATTTACTATTCATGTGAAAAATGATCCCAAATTATGCTAAAGTAGAACTTTTTTATCATCATAACCAAGTATATTAAAAAAAATCTCTCAATTCAGTTAACCCTAACATTTCCTCTTCCACAATATTTTTTAAATTCAACATTACCACTTACCACCTTCATCCTATTTCCTAGGACCTTCTGAGATATGTTTTAGATGCTCTCCATAGAAAATTTTCAAAGTGGACAGATATTTGCACATGATTTAAAATAGATAAATTAGATTTCCATCCAAACCCAAAATTAACATCCCAAAGAGAAATTTAGAGCATTTCCAATGGAATGTCAATTGGAGAATTCTAGAGGCATTGAAAAAAAAAAATCTCCATTGGTGTGTTTTTCAATTCTACTTGTGATGAGAGACTCAAAAAATCTAGAGGTCTTTCTACATGTGAAAGTCATTCTAGACATGATGACTCATTTTTTTCGTCATATTTACATGTTTTAATTTAATTAAAATCTATAATAATTAGGTATAGAAAAGTCGTGTCTGCTTAAATACCAAAGCACCAGAATGTTTTTGTAGTAAATTATTATAAATTTAATGGTATGTATTTTGTTTAAATTATTTATTAAAATAATACAAAAATACATGATAAATTATAACTCTTTAACAAAAAAATCTCGACGTTATACAATATGAATTTATGATTCAGTACAAGAATAATTTATAGTATCTTGTTCGACCTGCAAGTTTTTTTGGTTTTTTTAGAACAACAGAATAAATAAATAAATAAATAAATAAACTCAGACTTTTTTGGTTTTTTTAGAACAACAATAGGAAAAAACACACATACACACACAGACATGTGTATAGACTTTACCGTGTCCAGACATTTACCACTTGAGAGTTATTTATGAATATGTCAGTCTATTCCCTCCAAGTGGACATAAGCCATGTATTTAGTTGTCATATTCATTTCAACCATTGGAAATGCTCTTAGAGGGATAATATGACATACCATAAGGTGTGATTTGAACTAAGGTTTGATCCCTCCATGCCATTATTCCAGCCTATGAAAGATCCAATCGAACGAGTTCTTCAAACAACTCAATACACCGTATGATGACATAATTACTTCGGAGCACATTTGGTTGAAGGGATTATATAGGACAACTCTATTTATCCAGGGCTTATCTTGTGTTTGTTATACATGATACTGACCCGCATCTTAGTCTTAGGCCCAGGATAAAAACTGCATTATCTGAAGTATGCGAGATTAAATAATCTTGTGTACCCCCGGATGGAGATCATCTCCACAGTATAATTGTGATTAAATGACCAATTAGCCCTCCAAAAAAGCCAAAAAGGGTGAAATTACCTCTCTCTGTCATTCACATTGCGACACAAACGATGAGCGATCCCTTTGATCCGATTGAATGGGTTTTTCTAAGGGTGGGATCGGTCCGGTTCTTATATAATTTTTGAAGAATCGGAACTGTTATTTCGTGGATAGTTTCGGTTCGGTTTGTCTATAGAAATTTTGAGGAACCGCCAGAGAACCGAACCGTGTACAACCGGTTTGGTTCTTACGATTCCTACGGTTCTTAATTAACCAATTGGAAATTCTAAATAAATCAGTTATAACAAGCAACAATTAACCAAATACCACAATACAAATCTGAATAAAACACATTTGCAGGAAAAATAAAATATAAAAAAACTCTGATACAATATACAGTACCATAGCCAACATATGAAATTGATTCTCGAATTAACACCCACCAAACTTTCTTCCTTACTAAATTTATTGATCCGCCGAATTGATGTGAGGCTCGCCGTCCTCGGATGACACGTATGCGAGCGGAGGACTACGGGCATGAGGAAGGGGACAAGGGTCAAACTGATGTTTGTCCCACTGGAAGGGTTGTGGGCTACTGAGATCAGAGTGCAGTCCGTGGAGATAGATGGGACGTCGCGGACGGCGGGCGCCACGAAAATTGGATATGCAGGCGAAAGGGGTAAAGGGAAGAATTTGGGGTTTTTCTTTTTTTTTTGTATTCAAACAGTTTGATAAATTTCTATAATGTGAACTGTGAAGTCAAATATTTGTTATTAGAGTTTAGTTTACATTAAAAGTAATCCTCGGGGTTCGAATTTGGAAAAGACAATAATTTGAGCTGATTGGGCCTGTTTCTATTGATAATTGTTGGGTTGGGCTTATGAAATGCACTTAATTAGCATGACTAACGGTTAGCCGGTTATTTGGCAGATTCTGGAAGACAAACCGAAAACCGGAACCGAAAA